TTCAATACTGAGAATATCAAAGTCAAAATCATTTATTTCAATTAGACCAGGAAGGCACTTTTGAACGTCAACAACAAAAAAAAATTAGAAGTGAAACTAGTTGCTCATTCCAAGGTGTAAATTCCTATGGAGAAGAACGAGCAAGACATTCTATAGGTTACTCTTTTTCAATCGGGTTTACAAGACATTTCTCTAGTTACATAGTTTTGTTGGTTCGATTGTGTGAAAACAATGCAACACCGAAATGCAGTCAAAGAGATGGAAAAAGAAAATAACTAACACAAATGCATTCTACTAGTCTAATTTATTTTAATTAATTGCAAGGCTCTCACATTTACATTAAATTGTGCAAAGTTTTACACTAAGTAAGGTATATAAACATTTAAGCAACATGATTAAATTATTACATAAATAGAATTCAATGAACATCACTGTGTTTCATGTATTATCCTGCGGAGCCGGACCAGCCTGCCTCCAAGCACTTTTATCCTCTATATAATCATTTAGTTTGTAGTATGCTTGTCTACATAGCGTTTTTTTTAATACATAGTAAATTTCTTTCATTTAGATGCAGTATTTCTTGGGGGATTTTGTTATAACATTTAACAAGAAGGACTTATGTACTTTTGACAATCTAAAAAATGGCGAACTTAATCTATAACATGTCTAGTTTGATAATTAAATAGATCGGACTAACTTACCTGTGACGTCCGATCCTCAATTGTGTAGGTAGCGTCATCCTCGCTAATTATACTAGTAGTAGGCACTAATCTGGGCACGCTGTCACAATATTTAAAGATGAACACATTCATAAAAAAAATATTTATACTCTATGGTCATCTCACTGGCAACATCATTTACTTCAAAGCACCTGCAACTGCAACACAACTCGACCAGGGGTAAAAATAAACATGTTTATTATCCGGGAAGGGTTGGGACCTAGCGAGGATGACGCTACCTACACAATTGAGGATCGGACGTCACAGGTAAGTTAGTCCGATCTATTTAATTGTATAGGTAGCGTCATCCTCGCTAATTATACTAGTAGACGTTCAAAGAAGGAGTTGTGTTGACAAACAACACTGTTTAATCATTGAACATTGTTGCACTTAAACAAGATATATGACATTGTCAATAACATCAATATCTCACGAGTACTATATAGTACTAGTAAAAACTTAAGCAATAATCAAATTACGTTTATAATTTCCCCAAGATGTAAGCCACTAAACCATTATTAGATATAATAGCTACTTATGGTTATGGTATTGTTTTCAATCATTTTTATCAAATAAAAATACTTATAAAATTAAATACATTTTAAAAATAGTATTAAAAATAAACAGAAGCCCAAAGCACGGGTTATCTTAGTTTGGGTTCCTGACTTTCATCATTGTATTGTCAGGTAAACTGCAT